GTTTCTTCGGGGAGGGGGGGGGTTTGCCATTGCCATCCTGAGGCTGAGAGCTTGTGACTTGCCCAATGTCACCGCTGAGCTGGGATTCACACCCTGGTCTCCAGAGTCAGAGTCCAACGCTGAAATCACTACAAAGCTCTGGCTCTAATTTTAAATGTGGACTCTTTTAAACTCTATATGTCTTAATTGTCCTTTTAAACTGCTGTGTGTTTTGATCAATGCATTTTAATTGATGCTGGTCATTGTTGATTTGTTGTTCCCCACCTTGATCCATAAGGGAAGATAGATAAAAAAATAAATATAATAATAATAATAAATAGGAGATGTAGTATTTGAGTATTTGACTAGGACTCTGGAGACCAGGGTTCGATTCCCAGCTTGGCCATGAAACCCACTGGGTGACCCTGGGCAAGTCACACTCTCTCAGCCTTAGGGGACAGCAATTCACCATAAGTCAGAAATGACTTGAAGGCACACAACAACTACCAAAATCATGCCATCTGTCACGGCTACGTCTGATTGAATCCTTAGGTATGTATTTTATCTTTTGTTTGCATTTTACTTCTTTTAATGAGTGATGTTTTAGTATTGTACTAGTTTATGCTATTTTAATGCACAGTTTTATATGTTTTTAATTGTACTGCTTTAATTTGTAAGTCAGAAACGACTTGAAGGCACACAGCAACAACAAAATGTGCAAGCCGCTTTGTTTTGGGAAAAAAGCAGGATATAAATAAATATAATAATAATAATTAAAGTAATAATTATCTAACACTCAACCACTATACCACACTGATCCTCCCTAAAATAATTGTATAAAATAATTATTATATCGTATTATATATATTATACAAAATGTACAGGGTTAGCTGTGTTGGTCATTTAGCAAATTCAAACAAAAATCCATCAGTGATACCTTTATTGGCCAACCAAAATGCACAATATACTTGTTGCTTGCATAATAATAATAATGATAATATAATTATTATGCAAGCAATAAGTATAGAATCATAG